TGCTGGTAGTTAAGCAGTTTCATGTTATTTTTCTTACTCTTCCATCAGTTAAATATCTAAAAATATATGACAGCATGATGGTAAAATAGAGAACTACTGTGATTCTTCAAGTAGACATTCAATATTTATGTTTAATAGTTGATGTTTTGAACTGAATGTTTTTAAAATGATATATAACTACACATGCTTTTTTTAATTTCATTTTTTTTAAATAAGTGATAAATTCACTCATCCTAAAGCAGAAGTTGAGTTTTGTTTCTATAAAGAGCAACTCAGGAAGTGGCCTTAAATAGAGACAGCACAAAAAGAAGAACTGAAAGAGAAAAATCTCTTTCTTCAGTGCTTACAAAGTTAAATGGTAGTGTTTTTTGTTTGTTTGTTTTTCAATGTAATAATCCTTCCAAATGTTCATAAAGAAAAATCTCTGGTTTATTCAAAAATTACAGAAAGAAAGTGCCTTGATTTCTGATTAAACAATTAACCATAGTGTAATATGAGAACTGCAGTTAGCCACATAAAATGTGCCATAAACAGCAGAAGCTCCCAGTAATGGCGGATGAACCTATTCTACGACTGAACTGGGACACACTAAACTAGATCCCATTATCAGTGTCAGCTGTTATTTTTGCCAGCAGGCATGTTGAGTTTATAAGCTCTTAATATGGTTTCATGTGCCTGGAAGGCTCCTCCAGCGTTCACTGGCTGCTAGAACAACGTTTGAACTGGATCCAGATTATTACGATTATTTTAGAATGAATGTGGCATTGAGCAACTTTATTGTCAAGCATTTCCATAAGTAAAAGCTAAATGGGTGTTTTCTCTTTGCCTTGGAGCGTTTCTGTTTGTTCTCTCCGTGCATGTTTGGGTTTTTCTGGGTACTCCGACTTCTTCCCATAGTCCAAAAACGTCACTATTATGTTAATTGGTCTTTTTAAATTGCTTGTCCTGTGTGCACTCCAAAAACACAAAATCTTACCAAGTATTGGTCTAGTTTCTAGCAGAAATATCTTAGTGCACTGAAATAAGACAAAACTAACTCATAGGTTATACTTTTCAGCAAGATGTAGGAGTTGTTTAGAGTCGATAATTGCTTAATATTAATAAAAAAAATTCTAGTTCCATTGACAGATTATTTCACTTGTAACATGGGGAAAATGTCTCATTATAAGTGCAATAATCTGCCAATGGAACTAGAACATTTTCATCAAAATTGAGGAATAATTTACTTTAAAAAAACCCTCATATATTGTTGAAAAGTTACTTGTAAGTCAGTTTTGTCTTATTTTTAGTGAACTAAGATATTTGAACTGGAAACTAAACAAAAATTACTTGCTAAGTCTTTTAACTCATTGTCTTTGTTCCTGCGAATGTGAGAAGGGTGGCGCTGTTTTGTAAATGTGACTTGCCATAAAACAATAAAACCATGAACATGTCCTCTGGGGCGTTTTGAGTTATTTACAGATTTTGAATGATTGGATTATAAACTGATAGAAAACACGTCACCGTCACATTGCATTCAGTACAGCCGTGGCTAGATCTGCATTCCTGCTTCAACTTTGTGTCGAAATAATGTTCAAAAACAAAAGTTCTGCAACTCACCCTGAGAAACTTTCCACCGACACATTCAGGCTTTCTTTTGGTGTGCTGGTTTTAAGCCACTTATTCATTATTATTTATAAACACAATCCTTTGGTAAGCTAACTGTAGCGTCGCATTATGAGCTAACGTAACGTAAATAAACATGCAAATTAACATGTGGTTCGCGGGTCACTAGAGGGCGCCCGCGAACCACAGATTGAGAAAAAGTGACTAATGCTATTCCTTTGCTTGGTAAGTCTTTTTGAAGGGGTGTGCATAAGACTGACAACACCTGTCATAAACATGAAGGAGTCTTCATAAATGTTTACGACTGTTGGCATTAAGTGTCTTTCAGTAAATAATGACACTTTTAATGCAAATTTGACACTTTTAATGTAAGTTTTAATTGAACGTTGCATTAAAAGTGTCATTATTTACCAAATAAAGCAAAGTTGACACTTTTAATGAACTTTTAATGCACCTTTTAGTGCCACTTTGCATTAATAGTGTCATTATTTACCACTTCATGACAGGAGTCGTAAACATTTATGAAGACTCCTTCATGACAGTGTCACATCAGTCTTATGCACACCCATTCAAATAAAGTGTTACCAAGTTTTGTCTTGAAATATTACACACAACCAAATGCTGCATCCAAGCTTTCTGATTCATCTTGCAAATATTTTAATATTTGATATATTGTGCTGCTGTAAATAATAACTAACAGCCAAGAATAAAATGTGCGTGTGAAAAATGGCGTGTTGTAACGCTGAACAGACAGTCTGGAGTGGCAGCTGAATCATTCCTGATTGAAGAAGTGGTTTGCCGACCAGCTTCCTGTTTCCAGCAGCAGAGTGAACACCCAGCAGTTCACTTCTGACTGCTTATAGTCACATTAGTGTCATAAATCAACTCCATTGTAGCCACCAGACAGTTGACTGCATGCTTTGAAATCAAATCCTGAACACAAAAACACAGAGAGGCCTGGTGAAAGTGTGGCGTGTCTGTGGCTGTTTGCTGTCACACCAGAGAGGAGAGCAGGCGGTGAAAAACTGCAGCTTGTTTCAGTGGTTTTCAGCCGCAGGTTGTCCTTGGGTGGCTGTGTGAGGAACATATCCGAGGTCACAGACAGACTGTGTAAGTTACAGTAAACGGCTCAGACTAACCTTTATAAGAACACATACATTCTCACACACAGAACAAACTTGCTGTCTCTAATTTAGTATTATTGCCATCAGGGGATTTCATCAGGAGGCTCAGAGATGATGATTAGTAGTAAGTTAGCAGCAGGATGAGCCAACAACGTAGAGACTGGGGGAGGGTGTATTCATAGACAATTGTTTATGTCGAAAACAGTTTGTCTTGGTTTGAATTTTGCTAAAGCTGTGTGAAAACCCAAAGGGTGCAGATGGATTGCAGCATGCAGAGCTGATGTGTTTAGAAATGCTGAGCTCTGCATTCAGACTGACAGAAGAGCAGACATCAGAATAAATTACTTCTTCTTCAAGAGCATTTCCCCCCTGCAGGGAGCGGAGTTGACAGCATCCATGGACTGAGGATGGTGGTTTATCTTTAGGGCTTCATCAGTAGAGAAAATAAAAAAACGTTTGGCGAATGTTGTCAATATTCCTCTAAGGTTTCCATAACTTAGCGAACACATTCGGTCATTTAATCTTCAAATGTAGGAACATTTCTGAACTAATTCAAATAAAGGAAAACATAATAAAGCGTTTCTTATTTAATCAATCAAGTTTATTTGTATGGCACAGATGGGTGCAAACTTTTTGTCACATGGGACAAAAATCATCCAGCTAACAATTTTTACCCACTGAACAACAAACACCCTCTTTTTTGTATATATATATATATATATATATATATATATATATATATATATATATATATATATACATATACACATATACATATACACATATATATATATATATATATATATATATATATATATATATATATATATATATATATATATATATATATATATATATATATATATATATATGTGTGTGTGTGTGTGTGTGTGTATGTGTTTTGTGTGTACTCTTAGCATTACAGAACAGGACATGGGTCACCCATTCTCCAAGAACTTTTCCTTTTTATTGGCGTTTACTAACATTTTCCAGAAGGGTGCAACAAAGTCTTTGAACACTTGTGATCCTGCTTACTATGAAACTTAATGAAACAAATACTTTGTGTTGTACCTTCCATATATAGAAGACTTTCTCTGTATCTTTTTTGAACATTTCACTGTAAGATCTGTTTAACTGCATTGACCTCCAACTTTGAGCTGTCATTTTTGCCCGAGAGCTTCACAAAACCACATCGTGGGACACAAATGGCCCGCAGGCCACCCTTTGGACACCCCTGGTTTATGGCGATGCCGATGCACACCAAGTTTCAAAGTTCTTTTGTCGGCAGAAGAAGATTCTCTGGATAAAAACAATTCAAAATGTGTTTCGAACAAACTCACAATCAAAAACAATCATTATATGAGAGACGCAATTGAAAATGTTTGCTGTCAGATGTTAGTAAACTAATTTTCTCTGTTATATCATTGCGGAAACAATAAAAGACAGCGTTAGCGTTAAAAGCCAGAGGAAAGGATGAATTACTGAGCAGGAGTTTAGGACAGCTGGTGGGTTGAATGTCCGGTCAGAGCTGGCATCATTAGCAATTAAATCATCCCTCTGAAGCTGTTTCCTCCTCCGTTTCTCTGCGCCAGCAGATGTGATTGGTTCTTATGAGCTGACACAGCAGATAGCTGGAGGAGCGTTTCCAGAAAGAGAAACTGCAAAAAAGCTCACAATCCAATGAGAAGGATGAGCAGACGCTGTGCCAGCTGATGGATGCAGCGTGCAAAAACACAGTTACTCACAAACTGACCCTCTTTTATTCATGTGAAGGCCAGTCCGCTGTGACCTCCAGCCTCTGAAATGTTCATATTTCATGGCTTCTGACGTGATCGGCATGAAGAGCAGCAGCATCTGCATGGATGTCGGATCAGACAGAAAGCAGGAAGTGTCTGCTCTGTTGGGGAACTCTAATAAGCAGTGACACTGCCTGGTAAGGGCAGGGAGGATTAGAGGAATAAAAATAACTCACTTCTCTTTCTCACTGGCTGCTGGTGTGTTTGTGCTGATGTTGGATCAGTCTGGAAAGGCCTTCTCAACACATTGTGCCAACATTATTCAATAAAACAAAGAAAATAAATTATTTAAGTCTTTAACAAATGCTGACTGGATAAAAATAATTGATTTTGGTGAATTCTTATAAAGCATTACATCTGTTTGTTTGCAAATTAAGATGTAGTTCAACATCTTAATTAGCATGTAGCAGTGTTCCCTTTTTGTGGTCTTATTTTAAACACCTTCTTCTTCTTCTTTGTGTTTTTCCTCCTGCAGATTATCTATGCAGCCCAGACGAGAATGTTTTCAACATCGACTTCACAAGGTTCAAGATCAGAGACATGGAGACGAGCACAGTGCTGTTTGAAATCACCAAACCTCCGTCCACAGGCGAGTCCTTGAGCAGCTAACGAGAGCAAATATCAGAGCTGTAGTAATACACACAGCAGGGTTTAAAATATACATTTAGCCACAGAAACATCATCCTAATGCACATAATGGTATTTTTTTACTTGTCCAGTTTATAAAATTTGGGTAAATATAGTATTTTACACTAAAATAAAGAAAAATAAAGCAATAATAATGTTCAGTTGGAGAAACAAATAGGAAAATTTCCCTTCATTTTCTAGGAAGAAGTAGTTTTATCCCTTTAGGACTTTTATTTCTCATAACTTTGGAAAGCATCTCATCTGCCCACAAAGTCTCAATAAAACCTTTTGAAATTTGTAGTTGCAAATAAAAATAAAAAAAAACTTCAGGGATGTGAAAATCAAACCATGTTTTCTTTTGGTTGTTGTTATTGGTATTTGAGCATTTTTAGCATATTTTTATGTTAAATATGAGAGTTTTATTTATTTTGAAAATGGTTTCCATCTTAGATAAGTCAGGAGAGAAGAGGGACATCGACCCGAACGCTGGCCGTTTTGTTCGTTACCAGTTCACCCCTGCTTTCCTCCGACTGCGGCAGGTTGGAGCTACGTGAGTATAAATTAATCTGCATTCACAGTCTGCAGTAGATTGAACTAAAAACTGTGTTGTAGTTTATGTCTCTCATAACTTTTTCGTCTTTTCTGATTCCTCATCCATCCAGCGTCGAGTTTACAGTGGGTGACATGCCGATAGAAAACTTCCGGATGATCGAGAGACATTATTTCAGGGAGAAGCTGCTCAAGAGTTTCGACTTTGAGTTTGGCTTCTGTATGCCCAGCAGCAAGAACACCTGTGAGCACATCTACGAATTCCCACCTCTGTCAGAGGACACCAGTAAGTCAGATGAAACAATGCACAGCAGCACACATTTATTTACCTCTCTGGTTAAAGGAAGCTTCCAAGATGATTGAACATTTTGCAAAATCAGTTTGTCAATAAGCTTAGAATGATAGTGAAGTTTCAGGATTTCCTCCAGTATGTTGTAAGCCTGGCGGACCACCAGGCTTCAGTGGTGCAGAATTTCTGATTCAGTGCAGATTGTGTTTATTAGTTTGCTAATAGAGTTTCATCATATTAGTTAGAAATAAACAACAGGGGACAGTTAAGGCACTGGGTGATGGAGGGTTTGATAATGATTCAAGAATGTTAAAAAATATTCTGTCATCAACCTCATGGGGGCGACAGAGGAAAAGTTAAAAGTGCCTTATTCCAGCAAAAGAAACAGTGGAAGACGTTTACAGCATAAAACTATAATATTACTGCCGTTTATGAAAAATAATGCCTTCTTAAACATTGAAAATGGAAACATTTAACCTGAAAAGACTGGGAGGATTTTGTCAATGAAAGTAATTCTGGTTTGAAACCTGAAAGCTGAACATGGTCAGATTATATTAAGAACCAACTAACCATAGATGTTTTTTATGAAGCATTTTAAAAAGTCACATTTGGCTAAGCTGCTGTTCAGAAAATAGACAAAATAGAGTAACCAACAGACACAATAACAGAGACAAAGTAGTTACTATTAGAAAAATACAAAACAAAAGACATGAATAAGAAGAGATATTTGCTGAAATATAACTATTTATGTAATGCTGTAAAAGAAAGTTTCTTACAGATTAGTTCAGTCTTTTCCTTTTACTGTGATTTAAAAATCACAGCAAATTGTTTTTAAATTAGGTCGACATTTAGAAGCATTTGTTTATTTTAACAAACAACAAAAATTGTAAACATATGATTTAATAATGTAGAATAATGCAGTCCAGATTGTATAAGTCTAAGTGTTTTTTATTTTGAAATAGAACTGAATCCCAAGCCAGGTCAGTATTTCAGAAACAGGATTAGTCCTGTAATAATGGAGATGTTTGTGACCTGGTGAAATCTGGGTCAAAATAGACACAAAATAAGTTTTGGAGTCTTTATTCCCAGATTACTCCACAAATGTGAACCAGCATTAAATGTAATTTTGAGTGCACAGAATAAAGTTTAAAACAAACAAAAAGACGTGGTAGACTTCTGTGATCACTAGGGGAAAACAGCACACTCTAGAGGAGGTACACTGTATGGTCTTAATTTCCATTTAGCTAAGTGTTCTTCAGGTGATAGAAGGCCCACTTTGTAACTGTCTTTATGTGACTCTGAAAGTTCAGGTCAGAGTCCATCACTACATCTAGGTTAGAAACTAGAACTTTAACGGTGTTGTTTCTGTGCCCACCCACAGTCAGAGAGATGGTCCTGCACCCCTACGAGACACAGTCTGACAGCTTCTACTTTGTGGACAATAAGCTGGTGATGCACAACAAGGCAGACTACTCATACAACGGCGGGACATAGAGACGACGCCTTCGCCGCAGGAGACAGGTGGATTAATGGACCAACCTGTGGGACAGTCAGAGGACAGCATTGGCTTCGACTTCCTGTCTTTCTTTTGCTCTGTTTGTCTTTCTCCTGTTGAGACGACTCCATCCAGCAGCAGATGGGTTTTGATAATCTGAGAGTGTGTGTGGGTGTGTAAACACACAGAAATGCATCTGCAGAAGCTGCATACACACAAACACACACACATGGACACAGACACAAAGTGTGTTTGTAACATGATAAACCAGCAGAAAAGCGACGCTTGCATTTCAGATGGTTTTTCAAATAATGATAGAAACTATTTTTTTTATTCAGGTAGATAATGGTAGGAATCATAGAGCCTTGTGAAAGTATTCATAACTCTCGAATTTTTCTGATTTCATCACAATTTTGCTAGACGATTGATTTTTCCAGAAGTTATTGCAATAAATGGTAATATTTTCAAGTAAGGGAATAAAAATGCAAGATCTCGAAGATCAATAAACTTTTAGCACTGGAAAAGGAAAACATCTTAAAAATCCAATATAAATAAACAAAGACAACAGAAACAACAGTTAAAATGAATTATGAAGTCTCTGTAAATAAAATTGACCTTCATAAAAAGAGCTAACTTACACCAATGTAACCCACTGAAGACTTTTATCATCCAGTTTTTGGTAGAAATATTAAAAAAATGATGCAAACTGAAATTAATGAGCTCATTTTAATTTATCATGCAGTTAATTGATTTATTGCTTATTGCGACAGGCCCAATCACAGTTTTCTATTGTATTTCATGTACAGCATCAGATTCAAAGTCAGATATGCTTCTGGTCTTTGACTAGGCCATGCCAACACATGGCTATGCTTTGATCTAACTGCAGCTGTGTGATTGCACAAACCTGTTGCAGGCTCCAACAGGTTTTCTTTTCCACCGCCACGTTTCATCATGAAACCTGTTGGAAAAAAAGATATTAAAAATATTATTTCCACTTCAAAACCATCCGTAAAAAATCCAAGTGAAAATATGAAGTATGTGGTTGTAATGGGACCAAACGTGAACAAATTCAACTGGTATAAATACTTTTTCAAGGCACTGTAGGAACAAATCTCACATTTCTAAACGTTTTTAGGTCTTCAGTAACAGTTTTGGGAAGATTGTGATCATTTGATTCAACGGGTGATTTTTTTTTTTTATCTATGTGTATGAGGGTGTCTGCTGCCATTTTGTATGATTGTGTGTGTCTTTCTCCCTGTGTAAAAGTTTGTTTGAGGCATGAACACTTCTCTGGTGAAATAAAGAATATTATTTAAATGTCAGCAATGTTCTAATCTGCCTCGCAAAGGTCAAGTAGATTTCCAGAAGCTGTCAGTTCATTTCCTCCACAGTAAGCCCCGATTAGTTGGAAGTTTATGAGACATTCGTTTCATCTCGTTCCGTTCCGGATTTGATTGTCGACTACGTTGACCTGTAATAACTGTAGGCCGTATGTAAGTGCTGTATTTGCTCAAAGTGCAACTTTTTTTACAGAGAAACTCATAAAGGTGGCTGGTCTGATCTGGACAGGAACGCACTTTGTCATCTGTGCTTGGGTTGTACTTTTAACAGCCTTGTGTTTCACTTTTTGGTTTGCAGTGAAGTTTGTCATCTCCTCTATGTATGAAGGATGAAAAATTACAATTTCAGGCAAACTTTTGGTTTAGAGAAATATACATTTGAAAGACGTAGCACAATAAAATATTTGGGATTTTTCTTGTTGCGTTCAACAAATCATTTATTTCTCTTGATTTCTGCCTCATAGTCGTTTTTGTTATTTTCACTTCTACATATTCCAGTGATTTTGAGTGTGCTTAATAAATTCCTTTTGTTTGAAGGAGGTCTGTCATGAGATGCCTCTAAACTGTAATATGCACACTTCAGTCAGAAATATCCAAATAATTGTCTGATATTTAGGAGGGGAGATGTTCATTTTCACGTTATTTTCTGGTTTGATGCATTATATGTTTTGATTAGTTGTGTTATTGACTAATTTAAAGTATGTCTACATGTTGGTTGAACCAGAGGAGTGAAGAGCAAGTAATCAATTGAAAAGAAACCAGATGTGTCTTCAGATCCTTATAGAAGACACATTTTTGTGATTCACATTTCCCCGGATTTGTTTCTGGTTTATAGTTGCAAAAAAAAAAAAAAAAGAATGTGGTAAAAGTTTCAAAATGTGACGCCAGAGAATAATAGACAGGATTTGATTGGGAATTAAACTAATTGACTTCAATGTTTTGTTGGAACATGTTTCATAAATATATAGAAGAGATTTGTAAATGACTTGTTGTGAGTCGTACAAATTATTTTGAACTTATTTAAAGTTTCCAGATGTTGGTGAGACTTAAGAAATGAACAATAAAGATTTATTGGACTTTTTGAAGCATTACAGTGTCCTGACTCTTGTGCTCATTGAGAAACAAACAGAAAACAGACAAATGCATCTTAAAACATTAAAACTTTACAGACAAAACATTTATTTTAGTAATTTAATTCAAAAAGTGAAAAGCACACAGTGATATATTTCAAGGTTTTTGTGTATGGTAAGGGCTTAGATTTAGCTGTACTAACAAAAGTAAACAAACAAAACACAACATTGGGTTTAATAAAGCCTTGACTATTTGATTTGAATTAAAGAACAAAATTGCTTTTTAATTAAATCTGAATCGATTTAGGTCCCTCTGCATATCACAGGTAATTTAGAAGAAGCGTAAAGCTTTACTTTAGCACACTCCCTTTGTCCTGTGTATTTTTAGTTTATTACACTCTCTCTTGTAATAAACATGATAGAGAGCGACTTTCACATCTTTAACATCCTGTTGGCACCCTCTTATCTCACAGTTATCCTTCAAACAGACTTTTCATCTGTACACACAGTACAAAGATTTATTAACACCAGCCTGCTATTGATTTGCTGCTTTCCCTTTTCTGAGAGGAGAAAGGCACAATTTAGTGATGTATTGAAAACAGGAGTTTAGCTCTGAATGGACGAATGTCAGAAACATGATGATGAATGAAATTGAAGATAAGAAAGTTCTGATAAGGCTTAAGGTAAAATATTTAATGAAGAGCCTTTGGTTTGCAGTGCATGATGGCATAATTTATTAAAAACAAAATGTTGGCAAACAAATAATAAAACATAACAATCAAGCAGTACAATATTATTAGTAAAACAGTATTATTTCAAAATAACAGTTCAGTTATTTCTGAAATAGAGATGAAGCTTCATGTAGCCTCTTATTAGAACTAGCTAAGCTAGCGGCGCTAGCTATGTAAGCCAGCAGCTAGCTAAGCTCTGCTAGCTAAGCAGAATTTAAGCAGTAAAAAAAAAAAAAGATTATTTTTTATAATCGTGACTAGAAGAGATTCATTCTTCATGCTTTAAAATAAATGTTGTGCTTACAGGATCCTTTATGTAGGTCATGTTCAAAATGTCCTTGATGTGAATGCTATGATGGATTTTTCAGTGTTTGGGTTCAGCTCAACCATTTGAGGTCAAATTGGCTATTTTGATACCACTAACACAAGGAAGTCTGTTCAGTTTGGCAGTAAAACATGTGACCTGATAGGGAAGACGGAAAAGCACTAAAGATGTACGGACGGCAGAAACAAAGGAGCTTTGTTACCTTTCAGTATCAGTGACCTGTACTGATGACTTTGCAGAAAAGTACGGGGCCTCATTGTACAGTGCGTTCCTCCAAAGCTGGAGGTTTCCTGACAGTAAGAGTAAAGAATGACCTAAAGAGTTCACTGCTTCCTGAGAGATTGCTGTATTCAGTACATCTTCAAAATTAGTTTTTAGAGCCTAGAAAACCCAAAAGCATTGATAAATACTAAGTAAGCCACAGATTGTCCATTCATCTTTACAGTAGCAAAGTACTAAAGTGCAGCTTTCAGACACAAAGAAATTTTCTCAAATATCCCTGCAGCAACTTATCTACTCTCAAAAATTACAGATTTATAAAAACCTTGTTTTATAAATGTTTACAAAATATCGGTTTTTCCCTCAATCAACTTCTAATGTTAATAAAACCAGGGCACTTGGGCATTTTTTTTAATCTTCTAAAAAATGCTTTCATAATCCTGTTTAAAGACATAAACTCATCACAAGTCGACTTTCACAAGATTTGAATCCTTGGCTGTCTGCTTTTATCTGTGAATTGGTAAAAGACCCACAGAAACAATTTTCTACAAGTACAACAAACCAAAACAAATATTTTAACATCATTTTATTAGGACAAAATCACTTCATCCTGACAATTTGAGTTTAAATGAACAAGCCTGTGTTTTTTCACTTGCTCAGTAGCTAAATGGTGCATCTTTCAAAAAATTTTATTTAAAAAACAGTACAGTATGTAAACAATCAAAAAGTCATATTCTGTGATATTTACAAGTTAGGAAACGTGCTTGTGATGAAAACAGTACAACAAAAAACACAACACAACCAAAAATGCAACCAAAGTTACAACTTATTGTAATTAAACTTTCAGCAATAAATTAACACATAAAGTTAATTTACATTTATTTAAACTTTCTATGTAAGACTATGTTTGTTAGAGTAACAGGATTTAAAAAATCACTGAAAGATATGTACAACATTTGTAAATGAGATTAATAATGAGGTGAAGACACTTTCCGGAAAATGTGTACATGGAAAAAAGCCTCCAATGTTTTTCTTCTGCTCTGAGTTTGACATCAGGAAGTAATAAACAGGTTTAACAATGTACCTATCAGTTAAACAAGGTTAAGAGGATTTAAAGATAAAAATTGCACTGATTAAAGTTTTTTCTTTATACTTCATCAAGCTGCTGAATAAACATATCTACACAATATCATAATTAAATAATCATACAATAGTCTGCTTTGTTCATCTATGATATGTATTAATTTAAATAAAGTCTATTTTTTGTCATCTTTGGTGGAATAGAAACCTTTAAGTTTTACAAATTTGGACAAACTGACTTTTTTAATTTTGCAAGACAGTTGTATCTTTTTAAAAGCTTTTCTTACTGGTCAGTGGATGGGACTCAGGAAAATCCTGAATAATGTCTCTTATGCATCAAAACTTATACAGAAAATAAGTTATCAAATTTATGATACTCAGCTCTGATTAGATCCCACCTCATGATGTTGTGCTAACAGATATAGAAATTCTTTAAAAGGCATTACGGGCAGTGCTTCCACTCAGGGTTTACTGTGGGTGTTATTGGCCCACTGAGGAAACGTGCCCATGTCAAACATGACGTATCCCCAGGTGTTGACGCCCAAATTTATGCAGAGGATCCCAATGATGTTCA